ATACCTAATCCCTTCCCTCAAACATTGCCAAGCGCCAGAATATCAGAAGTGTCCCAGAAGTTCAGAAATAGTCTCGGGTTTTTCCGCTTCAGGCTCTATTTCCTGATAAACCCACGCTCAGACTCACCCTGAACACAGCTTGCCACAAAAGTTATTGTCTGCTGTGACGCTAATTAAACTGCCATGCCAACCCAAGGAGAGGTGGATGGCGGCAGGTCAGGGATCTTCAGATTTGTATTTCAAGGCAAATGATGCCCAGTGATCACAATACATGCCAGCCAGTCTCTCCCACTTTTACAAGGTTGAGGACGCTAGGGAAAGCGACTTCTCTAAGCAACTTCTCTTTATTCAACTCACTCAGCCAAAAGCCTCTGTGTATCTGAAGTCCCAAGGTTTCACAGCCAGCTAGGAGGTTTCCAGGAACTGTTTCCTGTGCTAGCCCAGGAGAGTACACAGGTAGCCTGTTTAAATGGTACCAGTCCCAATACAGGCCAAAATACTAATCCTGCTACAATCAACACCTCGCCTCATCACCTCAAGAGCGTTGGTGTTGAAACTGCAGCTTCCATCTATCGGAGACGAGAACACACACATAAGCCTTGTTTGAAAGAAACCAAGAACGTGCGGATGCTCAGAGCAGCTTGTTTTCAGCTTCTCCTCTCCGACTTTGCTTTACTTCCTAACAAGTTGACTCCTTCATTGTTTCCTGCATGCACCATCACATAAAGACAGTTGGACCAGAATCACTAGCCATCTTGGGCAGAGGTACTAAGGCAGAGCCTCAGAAGGCACCCTGAGAAGAGCTGTCTTCATTCAGTTCAACACTCCCAACACCAGTAGCAACACAGCTCCACTCCTGTAGTAGCGGTGCTGTCAAAACAGTCAGTGATAAGTCACACAAAAACAGCACGGTCCTCTGCGTGTTAGACTAAACATGTGAAAATCCTGGAAAGTCTTGCAGCTGTTTTGCCAGCCTGCAGCAATGCGAAAAATAAAACACACTCTTGTCGGAGGGGATCAGCAGAGCTAATGTAGACAGGGCCTCCTGCTTCTAGCAGTGCTTACCGGGAAACGGTTGAAGAGATCAAGAAACATGGAGCCTGTGAGGGCACAGTTGCGCTTTGTCAAGAATCCACTCAGTGCCTCCTGATACATCACAGTCACCCTCCCCAGGTCCAGAAGGCCTGTGCCAGAAGGCTGGAAAAAACAGCAAATAAAGCAAAAGGATGAATCAATAACAATGGAGCAATTCTATTAATACCACTGCATCAGGAAGCACGCGTTAACATTTCCAGAACGTAATGCTCTTCGCTAAATTTAGGTGCCAGGTCCAAACCTACTGCATCCTCAGTGTTGCATATTCTTACTACCCCTCATCCCAAATCCTGCACGTCTGGAGCATGCAAGGTATGCAATGCCCAACTTTGGACAGACCACCTTTCTTGCACTGACCGAGGTACAGCTCCTCTACAGCCACTGTATAGACTTTAAGCCTTCCTCATTTCCCAATTTCACATATACCCGCCACCCCCCTTACACACACACACACACACACACACACACACACACACACTCTCTCTCTCTCTCTCTCTCTCTCTCTCTCTCTCTCTAAGGCTGTGATTTTCAAGCTAGCTGAAGAGTCTTTTGAAAATCTCTGTCCAAGTGACCTGCCCAGGCCACAACACAGATTAGTGGCAGAGCCAGGTTAACGCTGGGCTCCCACATGTAGCCCAGGTGCCTTCTCTGTTCCAGCACCAGCTAGTTTAATCTGAAGTGGTGCAGAGTTCAGAATCTGGTATTAAAAACTCAGGTCTCGTAATGACCTGCCTGTATTTAGTAAAGCTTTGACGTGTCTCTATCAGAAACAAAATAATAGATCTTGTCCTTAACATCCTAGTTCTTTCTCAGGTAAAACTACTTCTTTTGTCACTGGATTCTTCCTACTTTTGGCCACTCTAGGCTGTGCTCTAGCTCCCCTTTGCTGGGCTTTTCAGATCATGCATGTCAAATACTATTGGAGGTGTCGGTTGTAGCCATGTTGGTCTAAGGACATAGGCAGACAAAGTTCTTTGGGTAAATGTGATATCTTTTATTAGACCAACTGAATAGTTGGAAAAATTGTCCTTTGCAAGCTTTCAGGCACAAACACCTTCTTCAGGCACAGGGCAAGTCTGCTGGTGTTTTGTGCGCTCTCCTGGCGCAATAACACCTATTGTGCATTTGCCTCACATAACCTGCTCTCTGGGTCCCTACAGGGCTCCCCTATTCTGCTGGGACAGCAGTTCTGACCCAGTAATTAATTTCATATGCTGCTGCAATGCCAGGTAAGCACTGATCTGAGCTGCATGTATGAGTGTGGCCATATCCCTGCATCAATAATATATTTCTCTGTGCAACTCAACATAGCTTCCAATCACCCCAACCCCATGTCCTGGATACCCTTTCTACAAGTATGCACCATATTTGTGTTTTGGTTCTCATACCAGGATGGACTGGCAAAGAACAGACATACCTGCCCAATGAGTAAGTAGGATTAATGCTTTCAGACTCTCATTAAGCCTTAAAAAATCCTGGGTACTTTTCCAAAAGCAAATATTATCTCATTGCTTACGGTTTCTGAACCCTGCCCTGTGTGTGAGTAAGGTAACGTATTAGGCAGACCTGTTGCTTTCTTCCTTCACTGAAATGCCATTGGGATTAAGGCAGTAACTGCTAGACAGGTTTAGGTGGAAGAAGGCTGATCCTCCTCCATGACTCAAGGCAGGAGACACCTAGGTAAATAATCTGGGTTTGGTAGCCATCCCCTAGGAAACTTGCTAGGGGAAATGCCAGGGTAGCTGTGCTAAGCAACCACATTCACCGGTACTCTGACTTCAGAGACCATGTAATTGTAATTCAACAAGGGCACAGGAGAGGGGGGAAGAGGGCACTATGCAGCAAGGCTGCCACACGTGGTTGTTTGGGACGGGCCGATGGAAACCCAGATCTAAGGATGAGTCTAACAAAGAAGAGACTGCCTGAGTATGACTACTATCCAAAAGGAATACCAGCATGCTCAGGTTCTCCTCCCGCCTGGCTGCTTACCCCGAGCCTGTGGCATAAAGTGTGAGATAGTCATGTGAAGCCTTTTAAGACTCTTAAGACATGAGAAATAACACGAGGTCTCTATTCTGCTACCACCAGTCGTTCCCCATTGCTCCACTTAGAAAAAGGCTAGGAGCAAATGGGAAGAGGCAGCAGGGTGGGGCTGTCTGAGAACAAGCTACATTTAGCAGCATCACTGTCTGGACTGAGTCGGGAGGATTACCCAAGTAGCCTGGATTTGATGAGTGCTGGCACCCCCTAGTGACTGCTGAAGACTAATTGCAAGCAGGCACTGGATGGACAGGCAGGCACCAAAGGAACGAACTAGGGAGGGTGAAGGGAGGGCGAGTGCACCTCTGGAAGGGAAGGGGTAGGTCCCCGGCAGATCCTTACATCAGACAGCAGAAAACAGCATGGCTACAGCCATGAAACAGAACAATCTGACAGTACAAGCCCGCCTGGAGTCCCAGCCCTGTGGTGCCGTGTAACCCAGGAGCCAACTCTCCTACCTGGTCTGTTTGGTCACAGGGCCCTTCTGCGCGCTTCAGCTTCTTTTTTGTTGCTGAAAGAGGTGTTGCCTCACTGGCCACATTTCCTTTCAATACCTTGAATAGGTACAGAGAGGCACTGGAACAGAAAACATAGGGAGGAGGGCTGTGCCGGCTGGAGGGTCCAAATGCCAGTATCCAGGTACTTGCAGTCTGGTGTCTTCAGGAACTAGCAAGCAGGCCATGTGTCAAATAGAGCAAGCAAGTACCTGTGCCCAGTTTTCTATACCAAAAAGTGCCACGAACAGGTCTGCAAGGGCTCCCTTAGTCTAATACACTGTGTATTTGACCGACTCGCATATCAAGTGGTATCATGTTTTGGCTCCAGCCCTTCCACCTAAGACTAATCACCAGGGAGCTGGGTTTTCCATTTCCCCCAGGAAAAAAAAAACATAGTAAAACATGGATTTCCCTCCTTAACTGGAGTAAAAGGTGGATTTCTCAATTTAGCAGAGAATCCCACAGATTTTGCAGTTTTGCAGCAAGCCCTCTGCAGGCGGGCAGAGCTCCAGGCTGCAAGGGGCTGGGGGGAGCGGGAGGAGGGCGCTTAGGCATATACCATGTGCGTTCAATTTTAATCATGGATTTTGGGTTTTATTACAGAATTTGTGATTTTTTTTAATCAAGGAAAACCAGGATCCCTGCTAATCACAAAGCCCTGATTGCCACTTCACATTTTCACTGGGGTAACACTCTCTTCCTACAGCAGCACAATACCCAGTACCCTAAAAAACGTACAGTCCAAGTATAAGATGGAGGCACCAAATGGATACCATGGATGGGGAGGGGGCATAGGGGGCAGGGAGAGGGAGATTGTAAAAGGTGAACCATACCCAATGCCAACCATACCCATGGCACGTAGTCAAGGCATCCTTGTTTACAGATGGCATTACTGAGGATCAGGGATGGGAAGGGACCAATATGATGTGACACACATTTTTTGGCATGACAGGAGAGAGAAGAAAAGCCACATGGGCATTCATTGGTGATGCATATGGGGTGTCCGCAGGTGCACATGCACTTCCTGAGATTGGTGGTGCACCCCCTAAGAGAAGCACTGTCAACGCTGCCAGCGGCACCTGCAGGTGGTCACTGCTAACCCAACCCCCCCCAAACACCGCTGGCAGCATCTGCGAGCAGTCGCTGATCACCACTGGCCGCTGGCAGCGTCTGCAAGGGGGGGTTGATCATCGGTTGGCGTTCACAACCCCCACCCCTTGCTACCAACACCGCTGTGGCCACCTGTGGGAGCTCCCTGCTGCCATGCCCCCACCCCCGCCCCCAGGCGGTCGCCGTGCCCCCCTGGCCTCCAGGGGCATGTGCCATTCATATGGGCATTAGCACTACTGGAGAAGGTCCTAGCCCCCTTGCAGTAAAGAGTTGAGAAGCAAGTGCCATCACACATTTTAGCTTCCTTCTGCACAGGGCAGCTAAGCATCCTCGTTGCATTTTCTTGTGAAATGTAGATGGGGGAACAAGCCACCGAGGTACACACAGAACAGTTGCTGCAGATAGATACCAGGCCTGAAGCTACACTGGCTCCCACCCTCATCAACCAGAATCAAGGTCAAGGAGCAAGCCAGGGGGAAAGCACAAATGCAGTTTCCCGTTACCACAAAATTATGCAGTCAAGTTTCCTGCATTGGGGAAATACTCAGGGGTCAGCCTGCCCAGAGAGCAGGGGACAGGCCTCACCCTGGGAAAGCCAGCCACCTCAGTGATCCTGGGATCTCCCCTGCCAGGTGCCTCAGTTTGGCTTCACCCTCCCACTGCCACGCTAGGTGGCTCGTGGCATTCAGACACAAAGCAAAAGACCTTATGTATGGAAAGTCAACTCCTCTAAAAGGTGATGGAGTTGCTCTCGCAAACACCAGCAGTAAATGTAGGTCAGCCCTTGTCAGCCCAGATGTTTGCACCTTAAACAAAGCCTCTACATACGAAGAGGGCTCCTGCTTTGTTACCCACCTGAAGAAGTAGAGTGCCACAGAGGAGTCACTATGCTTGCAAGCTCTCTTCAGCAGGCTGTCCATCAGGGTGTGCAAGTGCTCCTGCATGTCACCCACACTCTTGCAATACTGTTTGGCTCGACACAAGTGGTTCCTGAAAAGACAGCATTCCAGCCGACACAATAAGAATTCAAGGCTGTTACCTAGGAAGTCTGTTCTGAGCAACCTACTGGTAGGACCCAGGCTTACCCAGCATATAGCTCACTGCTGGGTAACAACACAGGCAGCAGAGAAGCAGCAAGTGCTATGGCAAGAGGAAATGTGATGCTCACTGAATGGTCAGCTTCAGTTTAATGATGGCTGCTTGCAGAGCAGCTGTTCACACTGGCAATTCTCCTTTAGCCTGTCGATTAAATGAATCTGCTGGCTTCAAATCTAGTTAGGGCACACCCTGCACAGTTGTTCTCTGCCCCAGCAGTTATCTTGGAGGCAAAAGAGCAGTTCAGGGTAGAAGTGCTCAGAAGTGGAGTTGTGGAAGGGAAGATGGACTGCCACATACTGTACATGGTACATCGTGCCTAGCTCTAGGCTGTACTATCAGCCCGTCCCCTTGCTCTTTAATGAATCCTAACACACTCCCTCGCCCTTCCCCTCCCCACAACCCATCTCACACAGTTTTGCTGCCCCGTACGAAGAATCTTCTCCTGAAAACACTGTCCCCCACCACGCAGGTTGTGCTGATGCCAACAGGCTGAGCCTGCAGGAATGGATCCCAACAGGCTGAGCCTCCGGGAATCCGTCAGCCCCACGTGCCTGCCCCTAGGAGGATAGCACGTTTCTTAAAATAACCTCCAGCAGCAGAGTGAGATGCTTCACTGAAAGATCGCCAAAAAAAACACAACTTTGTGCTCTCCCCATCCAACCGCACAACCTGCCAGCAGCAGCATGGCTGTCACCAGGACAGCTGTAAGATTCCCATGGCCCTTGAGAACCAGAGTAAATTGTCAGGCGGTTTCACTCTAGTCCAAGCAGATTGTAAGCCCGGTGGGTTGTCACACCTAGGTGCTGACGCGGTGCCTGCTGAAGTCTATGGAAAATCTCCCGTGGACTTTAGTGGCACAGGATCAAGCTCGTAGCGGTGACCATATGTTATGAGGGATTTCACCTTCACCCGCCCTGTTGTGCACTTGAGCTCTTCCAGTGGGGGAAGCCTGGAGGAGAGAGGCTAAAAATGGATCAGGGCTCTCTTTTTCCTGATCACGTGCAGGTCAAAGGAAAACTTGATCCAATTTTGGCAATTTCCTCTGATCTTAGAAGGAGCCAAGGGCAAGAAGGGGAGCCCAAGGGCTTTAAAAGCCACAGCAGTGCAGACACTTACGTGAAGATACTGGCTGTTTTCCGGAGGAAATCTTGCTCCTGTTTGTCAGAATCACTGCTCATGGTCTGCTCAATCACCAAGAGGAGAGGCTCGATGGTATCGAACACCAGGGGGTTCTCAGGCTGTTTGGTAAGGAACACCTCAATGAGGTCCAGCACCTAAAGAGACAGCTCCGTGTTCAGGTGGGAAGCCACAGAGACCAGGTATCACAAACCGCCTGGACCAACCAGGATCATCTCCCTCCACACATCAACTTGAAAGGGGGCACCCACCAGCTTGGCGATTCCCATTTCCATCAGAAAACTGAACGCTTACTACTGGCACCTGTGATTTCTAAAATGAATGAAACCGAATGAGACAGAAGAAAGCCTTAAGTTGGGTTTCAGCTTGGTGTGCATTTGACATTGCTCTGCAAGAAGTAATGGTAACGGGTCTCTATGCTACCGACAATCGGTGGCAGAACTCAGATGACATTGATGATTTTAACCAGCTGAAAACATGGCCCTTCAACTCCCAGACCTACATGCCAACGTAATGTTAACACGCTGCTGTGTATGACTGACATAACGCATAAAACCAGGGAAATGTTTGTCCTGGTTGGTTTGACAACAGTTCTAAGTTACTGCTAAGGGGTTCTTTCACCAGACAAAACAGTTTAGGAAATCCCAAATCCTTTTACAAGGCATGCTGACATCTAGTGGTTACAAAATGATAAAAGCTATGGTTATTTACATGGCTTTGTAGAGTTGGAAGACAGAATAGGACCCTGTGCATGGTAACTACATGGATACATAGCTGATGTAAGTTAATACAAGCTAAGACACACAGTTGGTCATACAAAGGGATCACAGTGAGATGCTAAGGAGAGAAGAGAAACAAAACCCCACACACGTTAACTGCATTGATACAGAGATGTCCCAGCTCCTCACAGCAGAACCACTCTTTTCCCCTCAACCCCAGTGCAGAATTCAGTCTCCAAGATCTTAATTTTTTTTAAAGCTGAAATGCATGGAAAGAGCTGACGCCAAGGGGCTGCTAAAATGATTCTGGGTGCCTTAAAAAGCAGCACATTAAACAGAGCCAAGTATCTACCCTCTGCAAAACCAGGCTTTTTTTTTAAAAGAGGTTTCCAATTGGATGCAAAAAAGTTAACAGGGTTCAGAATCATCACTCACCGCTCAAAATCTCAGTCTTCACAGTAGCACCTTAAAGCCCAAGTCATGGGCTACCATCATACAGCATTAAGTGCTGAATAAACTCAGAACAAACACAGTCCCTAACTCAAGGGACTCACAGTTTAATGCATGCTTAAGCTGCAAGGTTTCCTCACCAGCTTATTCCACACAGTAAAATACACCTCACTCTCCAATAACAGGCTGTGAAGACTGATGTTGGCCAGTTGCCTCCTACCTTAATCTTAAAATCCCTCCGTAAGATTTTCTCCTTCCGCATCTTGTCTCTCTCATCCTTCTTGGCCTGGACCCGCTTCTGCTGCTCAGCAAAGAGGGCCGAGAGGTTCTCGTCGAGGGCCATCATGGTCTCATCATCCACATCCTCATCACTCTCATCTCCTCCCTGTTTTTTGTTTGAAATTAAATGCACGTCACCATTTGTTTTAACATGTGACCCCTTTCCTCCACCACCTAGGACTGCAATTCCTCTGAGTTCAAGCCTAAAGGCTAAGAAGAGTCTCTGCCACCCTAACTAAACTAGCAGAGACAGCTAGCAGTGGCACCAGAGAGAAGCGCCAGTGTGGAGATAAGTTTAAACTTCGGCTCTGCAAAGATTGGCAGTCCCCTTTCCCTTCTGCTTTCCAGTTCCTTCCTCTCATGAACCCTCTAGAAGTTTGCTGCACATCTGCATGAGTGTACACACATCAGCTTGAGAAACGCTAGCTGAAGGCATAAGCTTGCAAATCCAAACCCATGGCTCAAAAGTAGAATTCGGTGCACCAGTCTCGCTGGCTTTCAGGAGGATGTAAATACCTAACTCCATCTGAAAGCCTAGCTGTAAGGTTCAAATGCATGTAAAAGGATGACAGGAGTCTCATGGCCTGGAAAGGATGACTGTATTGCTCCAACATACTCTACCCAGCCTCCCTCCATGCTCTCCTAAGCAGGTATTGTCTTGCTGGCCTTGCATCACCTACCAAAGCATTTCCTGCTTGTAGGACATTCATCAGCTGCTTTCGGAAGTTTTCATCTACTTCATCACTGGTCTTCTCCTCATCTCCACTATCTTCCTCTTCATCCTCTTCCTCAGAACTGTCTTCATCTGAAGAATCTGCACTTGCTTCTTTATTCTGCAAGCCAGGAAAGTCCATTTCAACAATTACCAATTCATTAAGGCCTCCACTCCCTCCTGAGGATGAACACGTCGCTGTTCAGAAAGGCCTCAGGAAGCCAAGCGTTACCTCGCAGTTGTGAGCAGCCTCCTCCACTACGTACATCATGCATTAAACTTAAGGCAGTGACCCCCAGCATCTGACTTGCATGTCACCCCCACAACCCACCCCAAAGTTGCTCCTCAGCCTTATGAAACTTTGCTTTCTGCAGACAGTTTTCTTCAGGCTAACACGGAGAGGAAAGGACAATGTCATCCACAGCATATCTCTTAGTCTACAGTGTTGCCCACTGACTAGTAAAGGATGGGCACACAGATATATGGAAGTGCAGGATCAACAATCTCAGGGTGCTAGCAGACAAAAAAACCCAACAAAAACAGCGCTTTACTTTAAACTCAGTGCGTTCCTGTGCCAAGCCTGCGCATGTCCAGAAGAGGTAGCACATTACTTTAACCCGACTCTGCAGCATCTGTAAAGATCGGGTGCTTTACTGGGGCTTTTTTGGCACTTTTATCCAATAACTGATTGAATCAGCTTTAGGTTAAAACACCAAAAAGCCCCACTGAAGCGCCCGATCTTTACAGCTGCTGCAGAGCTGCTGTAGTCGGGGGATGGAGACTAAAGCCCTGAGGTAAGTGGGGAAGCTGGAGACCTGAAGGAAAAGCAAGCAGGAAGGGGCAACAGGGGAGGTGCTCTCATACTTCCTTAGAAATCAGGGCAATAGACTAGTTACCGCAGGTGCCTGTACACAAATGCACAGAGCCTGGGAAACAGGCAGGAAGAACGGGAAGTCCCTGCACAGTCAAGGAACAATGATGGGATCGGAATAACAGAGACTTGCGGGGAACTCGCATGACTGCAGCACTGCCATGGATGGGTATAAACTGTTCAAGAAGGACAGGCAGGTGAGAAGAGGAAGAGTTGCACTTTATATAAAAGAGCCATATGATTGCTCAGAGCTCTAGTATGAAACTGGAGACAGGCCTGTTGAAAGTCTCTGGGTTAAGGTTACAGGGGAGAGCAACAAGGGTGATGTGATGTGATGGTGGGTGTCTGCTATAGACCACTAAACCAGGAGGAAATGGTGGATGAGGCTTTCTTTAAACAGCTAGAGGAAGTTTCCCTGTCACAGGCCCTGGTTCTCATGGGGGACTTCAATCACCCTGACATCTGCTGGGAGGGCAATACAGCCATGCACAGGCAATCCAGGAAGTTTTTGGAGAGTGTTGGAGACAACTTCCTGGTGCAAGTGTTGGAAAGGTCAACTAGGGACCATACTCTTCTTGACCTGCTGCTGACAAACAGGGAAGAACTGGTGGAGAATGTAGTAGTGGATGCAAACTTGGGCAGCAGTGACCACGAGATTACTTTGTTCAGGATCCTGAGGAAAGGAAGGATGGAGAACAGCAGAGTCAGGACCCACAACTTCAGACAAGCAGACTAAGACTTGCTCAGGGAACTCATGGGCAGGATCCCCTGGGAAGCCAGTCTAAGGGGGAGAGGAGACGAGGAGAGCTGGTTGTACTTTAAAGAAACCTTACTGAGAGTACAGAAACAAACCATCCAGATACGCAGAAGACTAGCAAGTATGGCAGAAGACCAGCTTGGCTTAACAGGGAAATCTTCAGTAAACTAAGTCACAAAAAGGAAGCTTATAAGAAGTGGAAACTTGGACAAATAAATAGGGAGGAGTATAAGAGCATCGCTTTGGCATGCGGGGATGAAGTCAGGAAGGCCAAAGCACAATTGGAGTTGCAGCTAGCAAGGGATGTGAAGGGCAACAAGAAGGGTTTCTACAAGTATGTCGGTAGCAAGAGGAGGATCAGGGAAAGTGCGGGTCCCTTACTGAATGGGGGAGGCAACCTAGTGACAGAAGATGTAGAAAAGGCTAAAATGCTCAATGCCTTCTTTGCCTCAGTCTTCACAGGCAAGGCCAGTTCCCAGACTATTGCACCAGGCAACACATTTTGGGGAGCAGGCCCATGAGGTCCAATAGTGGCAAAAGAACAGGTTAGAGACTATTAAGAAAAGCTGGACATATACAAGTCCGTGGGGCCGGATGGGATGCACCCAAGGGTGCTGAGGGAGTTGGCTGATTTAACTGCAGAGCCATTGGCCATCGTCTTTGAAAACTCATGGCTAACAGGAGCAGTCCCAGGTGACTGGAAAAGAGCAAACATAGTGCCCATATTTAAGAAAGGGAACAAGGAGGATCCAGGGAACCACAGACCAGTCAGCTTTACTTCAGTTCCTGGAAAAACCATGGGGCAGATCCTCAAGGAATCCATTCCTAAGCACTTGGAGGAGAAGGTGGTGATTAGAAACAGTCAGCATGGATTCAACAAGGGCAAGTCATGCCTGACCAACCTGACTGCCTTCTATGACAAGGTGACTGGCTCTGTGGATGTGGGGAGACCAGTGGATGTGATGTACCTTGATTTTAGCCAGGCTTTTGATACGGTCTCCCACAACATTCTCGTAGGCAAGCCATGGAAGTACAGGCTGGATGAATGGACTGTAAGGTGGATAGAAAACTGGCTGGAGCATTGGCCTCAGAGAGTAGTAATCAATGGCTCAATGTCTAGTGGGCAGCTGGTATCAAGTGGGGTGCCCCAGGGGTCAGTCCTGGGGCCAGTTTTGTTCAATGTCTTCATCAACAGCCTGGAAGATGGCATAGAGTCACCCTCAGCAAGTTTGCAGATGACACCAAGCTGGGAGCAGTGGTAGATATGCTGGAGGGTAGGAGTAGGATTCAGAGTGACCTAGGCAAATGGGAGGATTGGGCCAAAAGAAATCTCATGAGGTTCAACAGGGACAAGTGCAAAGTCCTGCACTTAGGACACAATAATCCCATGCACTGGTACAGGCTGGGCGCTGACTGGCTGGGCAGCAGCTCTGCAGAAAATGACCTAAGGGTTACAGTGGACAATAAGCTGGATATAAGCCAACAGTGTGACCTTGTTGCAAAGACGGCTAATGGCATCCTGGACTGCATTGGTAGGAGTGTTGCCAGCAGATCAAGGGAAATGATTATACCCCTCTATTCAGCACTAGTGAGGCCACATTTGGAGTACTGCGTTGAGTTTTGGGCTCCCACTACAGAAAGGATGTGGACAAATTGGAGAGGGTCCAGCACAGGGTAAAAAAAAAAAAAATGGTTCAGGGGCTGGGGCACATGACTTCTGAGGAGGCTGAGGGAACTGGGATTATTTAGTCTAGAGAAGAGGAGACAGGAGGGATTTAATAGCAACCTTCAACTACTGAAGGGTGGTTCTAAAGAGGATGGAGTTAGACTGTTCTCGGTAGTGACAGATGAGCTTCAGCAAGGGGAGTTTAGCTTCGACGTCAGGAAGAACGTTCTTACTAGGAGGATAGTAAAACATTGGAACAGGTTACCCAGAGCGGTGGTGAAATCTCCATCCTTGGAGGTTTTTAAGACGTCGCTAGACAAAACTTTGGCTGGGATGATCTAGTTGGGGATGGTCCTGCTTTGAGCAGGAGGTTGGACTAGATGACCTCCTGAGGTCCCTTCCAACCCTCATTTTCTATAATCCTATGAAGTAGCATGCTGCTGCTTCTGGTAAAACGCATTGTTTTAAGTCTGAATTTGTGTAGCCAAAAACACAAGCAACAACGTGCCAGATTCCCCAACAGTCCTGCCTGTATGCCTCAGATGTATAAGGGGAAAGACAACTGCAACTGCAAAAAGGTGCATTCTGTGAATGATTCCAGGATATAAGAGACTCACCAAAAAGAAGTCAGCCTAGATCAGGCTTTGGGGAGAGGAAGCTCCAGGCACGGGAGAAAAGGAACCGGCTTTTGGTCCTTGTGGGTTAATGACTGTGGCTTTGGGCTGTGACCCTTGAATCTCTGCAGTTCCCAAATTCATAATTCCAGTATCTAAAGGATGCTGCAATGCAAGAGTCCACTTACACTGACTGAAAAGGTGACAACTGTGGCAGCTGAAACAATGTGGGTAGCTATTCCTTGGGAGCCATTTAAAATTTACAGAAATATCTCCACTAGTGTCTTACAACAGGATGAAGAGACTAATGATTACATACTTCCATGAGGTGTTCAGACTGCAGAGAACTAGTTGTTTAGTTTATTTAGAAATAATGGCATTTCTTTTTCTTAAGCTGCAGTTCAGCAGTAATATTGTTCTTAATGGGATGGAACAGGCAATCATTTAGCACATTTAATGCAAAGTAAATTACCGTATCCTCCAGCAAAGGTTTCTTCTTGCCTGTTTCCTCAGTCACCACAACAGCACTTTCTTCATCCTGATCTTGCTCTGGATCAAGAACCTGTGGAGGAGTTGTTAAAAAAAAGAAAGACAATTCTATTTTGATACTTTCCTTTTAAGCAACCAGAGGAAACAACAACAGACAGCGGATTTCAGCAAGCTGCAGACACTGAACAGTGACCCTCTGGATCAAACAGGCAAAAAAAAATTCAACTAGTCTATCTTGTAACAACATATTTGTACCTGCTACATAAGAAAATCCAGAAGAGTGTAAGTATAAAAGAGTCAAAAGAACAGCAATGGCTAGTAAGATGTTAGAAAAGAGACAGAAGAAATGTATAGTGAATTTTAATTCCTAGTATTAGATATATAGTAGGTTCTGATGTAAAGTATTTTTTGTTGTTCTCTGCAAGGTATATTTTGTGCTTTCATGAGATGCAGCATCAACTGGTTATGTGCCTTACCCATTCTGATATTCAACATTAGGGTGTTTTTGGTTTCGGTTTTTTTAGCAATCCTGTTGCTTAGCTCCATTTTTTTTTAAACTGCCACATGCTTTCGCATATAAGGCAAGTGACATGAGAGGGTCCGTGGTAATTTCCCAAACTAAGGCTGAGGAAGAACAAGCAACTGATCAAGTATAAACTGACCCCAGGCTCCCTGGTGCAGGGGTTCAAGAGAGGTGGTTCTGCATAAACCTCCTTTTAAGGCTTCATGAGATATATACGATGATACTCCTATTTCATAATAGGCATGATTGAGGAAGGCCTTGGCAAACTGTGAGCTACAGAAGAGCTTGGAGACAAGTTCCCAGACCAAGTGACGCCAGAAACTATGACATGCGGCCCGTGGGCTGGTTGAAGTTCTGGGTGGGGCTAGCAATTAATTGTACCCCACCCAGCCCTTCCACCAACAAGGGTAAGAGTGAGGTGCTCATATATACACACACCCCTCCCCAACATACCTTATTGCACCTCGCTCCCACCCTTGTGGGAGGAAGGGCCCAGCCCAGCCAGCTTGGCTTCCCAGGCATCTCGCTCACTCCAGGCACCAGGTAGGGAAGCAGCTGGGAGTGGGAATATGGGGACAGGGCTACAACTGGGTCGCAGCTCTGTCCTGAGCCCTGCCCTGGCTGTGCAGTGCCTGCCCCTGCCCAGGCCTGCTCCGTCCCTCACCGTGGAGGCCTCGATCTGCCGCCCCCATGCCCCTTCCCTCACGGGCTTACCAGCTGGACCCAGCTGCCCTCTACGCTGCCAGGCTGCACTCCTGGCCGCCTGTGTGCTGCACTGCACCCGCACGCATGCACAAGGCATTCATCGGCAATATTATCGGCCACGTCAGCCAAAAAAAGCCAATTGCCGATAATGTCAATTTTCCTTATATCAGTGCTGATCTGATATGGGACCTATGTATCAGTACACCTGTAGTCATTAATTGTACTGTTCAACCCGTACACAATATCAATGTCCCAGATTGCTTTCAGTAGTCCCCGGGAGATCAATGCCAATTCCGGTAGACTCCTGGCCAATCCGGGAGAGTTGGCAACCCTACGGGCTCTGCATGGAGCACGTGCAGCTCCCAGAACTCATGCGCTACCAGGGGAAGCCCTGCATGATGGAGCTGGCTGTCTTCGCCGCTCCCTGCTGTGCAGGTCCTGGGAAACCACCAGAAGCGGAGGGGAGCCCCAGCCCCTGCTTCCCTGCGAGTCCTGTGACCTGCACGGCATGGGACAGGGAAGGCAGCTGGCTCCCATGCACGGGACTTCCCCCAGTGGTGCGCGAGTGCGGGAGCTGCACATGCACAGCAGGGAGCCCTGTACGAGGCGGGCCGGCCAGGCTGTGCTCCTTGCTCCCACATGCAGCACTGGCCAGAGCCATGCGCTGCCAGCGGCAGCACCTACACTGGGCACAAGGACCCTGAGCACCCCTGCCTGCTGCTGCTACCTCCAGGAGTTGTGTGCCATGGGAAGTGTGTGTGTGGGGTTCCCCACACCTCCCCAAAAACTCCCCACACCTTCATCCAGCCCCCACAACCCCCCCACATATACACTCCCCAACATATCCTTTGCCCCCATACACACAGCCACACAACCTCACAACTCCCCCACACACACCCCCAGATGCACACTCCCACTCCCAACTACACTGCACACTGCCCATACACAATATACAAGAGTAAGACTTTATTTTTTAGTTATTATGCAATTGTCTCTATATAAACTAGGCAAACACAAATCATGACAATAATATTTTTAGGAATAAAATTTAAATATGTTATCATAGGTGTTTGACTTTTAGTATACGATTTGTTTTTTTTCTGGTTCTGAGATGGCAACCCTTCCCTCCCAAAAGGAGTATTTCTGGGGGGCATGGGGAGGGACTTCTGGTAGCAAAGGTCAGGGGTTAGAGGCAAGACTTCCAGTCCCGAGACGGCAACCAGGCAGTGGAGCACCTCGCAAGTGATGGGGCTATCCTTGTGGCCCTTGACAGCTCACCAAAACTCATTAAGTGGCCCTCCAGCCAAAATCTTTGCCTTCCAGTTCAGGGGCGGGCAATTGAGCTCTATTCCCAATTAATTCCTTATGGTTAATTAGCTACACCCAGAACTTCAACCAGTCACAACCCCTCCTCCAGCGTATCACTTACGTCGAGGATTAGATGCAGGGCCCTCTTGGACAAGTGTGGACAGATGCGTGCAAACACACTTTTGGAGACACGGCGCATGAGCAGGCTGGGCTGAGACAGGAGGGAGAGGAGAACTTCCACTATCACCTCCACCCATTCTGGCTCCTCCTCATCTGCATGGGAAACAGAGGCATCAGGATGGAAGGAAACAACACTTGGGTCTCAATATGCATTATAAAGAGGCCTTGTGACAGAAGAGAAGTGGACACACGGTGTACAGCCCTACACCAATGTAACTTAGTGTGTGTATGTGTGTGCAGAATTACCCTTGGGTAGCTGTTTGCTCAATGTAAACCACCTGCTCCTTTACCAGCTCTCCTGAAATAGCTCCTCATCTGCAAGCTGCTGTAACACCAATGTAGGGGTTAAGCCATCTGTCCACTTCTTGGTTACACTCATGTAAAGGCTGGTTGCACCATTGTAAACATATCGCCTGTCCAAGCCCAAATGTTGTTGGGCTCCCAAGTGTGCTCTGGGCAAGTAAAAACAATCCTGCCTATTAATAATTCCCCAGTCTCTCTTTACAAAGAAACTCACCACACTTTTTCTTTTTGGATTTCTTGTCAAACACCCTCTCCATGCAGCTCAGAAGGTCATTCAGAAGATCCATAGTTTCTGTGGGAGTCTGTTTGATATGAAGCAGAAGTACAGATAAGTCAGACCGATTGACTGAGAGGCATTTACTAAGACACGTACACAACTACTCCCAATTCTAGCACACAGTGCCGTTGGGAAGTCAGGTGCACAGACAGGTCATTATCTCAATTTCCAGCTCATGGAGACATCAAGGGAAAGGGGAAGAGGAAACCAGACTAGCCAGAAAACCTAGGTCAGTTATAGTTAGTTTCTTTTTAGATGGGGAACTGCACTGGAAGGAAAGCGGCTATTTTAAAGCCCTTATCTTTCCAGTCATTAACAGCCAGGAGATTCTTTGCTGGTTTTCTGCACATAAAATGCACTTGAACACTGTAGTTCAGGTTCACACAGAGCCCATATTGGTCATCAGCAACATGCCACTCAGTCAGAAATACAGCATATAGACTGCAGTGATATGGTAAGTGGGAGGACCACAAAGAGAAGCAGAGCAAGAGTGTTAGGCTGTTTCTCTCTTGCTACTACAGCAGGTACAATTTCTAATGTCAGTAAAATGGCTGAGATAAACCCTGAACTAGTGGGTCTAAATATAAGATTTTGGTCTCTGCGTTTTAAATGAGGATTATGATGTACAACTTCAAGAGACGGGTTTAGAAATCAAGGAAACACACAGCCTAAAGTATCAGTAAATTGGCATGTTTCTTATAATCTGGATTCAGGCTGTTTTAGCTGTTGTTCCCTACATTTAAATAGCTATATGCTCTGACAGTCAGGTCTTCAAGCCCAAGGAAATCATCCAGCTATGAGCACTGGAAGTTCAGGAAGCCCAGCAGATATGCACCATTACCTTAAAGAGATAAATGCCAACTAAGAACAGGAGCTGCTGGAAAGCAAAGACTTCTGCACCGTGAGACTTCTCTTTCTTCTGCAGGTTCTCCACAGTCTGCAACATGCTGACGGCATAAACAGGTATGAGTCTTTCACAACTACAAAATGTAGCCTCCACTAATCTCACTTGAAACGCACCCGCTCTTGTCCCGAGAGAACCTGGCCCAGAAATTCTGCTTCACCATCAGGCAGACAGAGGCTGCTTCAGCCAGAGTTGCCGACACAGGCAGAAGGCTTCCATAACCTCATATTAATTACCACCCCGAGCTGAAGCCTTTAAACTAAAAATCAGCCACAAAAGGACAAGATGACCCAAAATCACAGATCTAATTCAGGGCTGTGACAAACGAACCTCAAGGACCCAAGGTTGACCCAAACCCCTTGCTCTCTGCCATGCCCATCATCCTTCCTTGCCCCCGAGACCAGTCCCCAGCCTCTCACCGGTTCCAGGCAGCCTTCTGTTCCTTGGTAAAAGGAGTCACAGCCTTTACGTCCTTTTCATGGGACAGCAGGACATTGGCATACTGCACAATATGAGAGATCCAGAGTTTGCCATCTACAGTCACACCATGAACGTGTCGCTCCCTCAGAGCTGCAGCTTCTGCTGTGTCCCCCAAGACAGGCATAGAGTTTAAACTCTGAAGCAAGCTGCAAAGCAAAAAAGACAGTAGAAAGTTCCATGTTAATACAAGGGCTGCTCTGTTTGTCCTGGCTTCTACTCCCTGCACCAAAATGGTTGTCATGAGTCAGAGGAACCCGTCTCCAAATACTTGACTTGTTCTGCATTTTCTTTGCAGCTTAATGAGTTCAATTTCACAAATGTTTGCAGATTTTTTCCTTATACAACCCTAAATATAGCCCCAGTTATCTCCAATCATTCCATCTCCATTAAGATAGGGTCTAGAGGCCCCACTGTACAAACATGCAGTAAGAGATGCTTCCTGCCCCAAAGAGCCTCCAGATTAATAAGAGAAGGCAAAGGAAGTATCATCCCCATTTAACAGATGGGATGTGAAGCACAGGGTTGAAATGACATGTTTGAGGTCACACAGGAAGTACAGAGCAAAGCAACAACTAAACCCAACTTTCATGCCCCAAGCCAGCACTGTATCCACAGCACCATACCCAGCGAGCCTTCCTCCCATACATTCTTTATCACCAAGGGGCTTCACAGGATTCTTTGCTAAACAAGAGCTCTCATTGCATCCCCCTCCTTTCCCTCACCCACTAATAATACTGACAAATAGTGCTGTGCAAATCAATACCCAATTCCTTTTACTTAAACACAGGCAAGGGGATCATCAGTCAATAGACTGCAATAAGAGCTGACAGGCAACATCAGTGGCTATTTGACCATCCCTAGGTGAACTGTAGCATCTCTAAAGAACCCAGCTCTGAGGTCTACAAAAGACAGCTCGAGGGATACTGGAGCAAAAAAACACATCTGCATGCACATTCCACAGATGTTCTTAGGTTCATTTAAATATAAACTTCTTTTTTCACCAGAAGGTAAGTGTTTCTAGTAGATCTGGCATAAGGTATAAGCTAAGAGCTGCTCATTCTGGCTACACAGTTGAATCATGGTACAATTAGCAAAAAGGCTCATTATAATTATACTTTTTTGACATTCACTTGACCGTGTGCTCCTGCTTGCCTCAAAATGGATCAGCGGCCAACATTAAGTGTAGGCAGGCAAACTCCTCACCTGAAAAATAAGTTTGCAGCCACTGAGCGAGATCGTTCAAGCAGGGAGGGTGATGGGATGGATTCTGTCTCAGGTATTTCAGAGGTTGGTTTCTTGGTCACGAAGAAAGCATGGAAGAAGCAAAATCTAGAGTGGAAAGAAGAGAGTAGAATGAAGACTTGGGCTCAGTGCATGTACACAAAGCAGTGTTCACGTTCAAGCTAACAATAAATACCATACATTTATTTAGCTTTTATTAGCCAAGAATCTCTAAGCACCTCACATATTTCAATTAAACTTTATATATCCTGTATACACTAGACACCACAAAGTACCTAAAGACAGAGAGAGGACTTTAATCTCTTACAACATCATTAGTACACTACCTGTGTGTTTACAATACCAAATTTAGCCACAAAGGGCATTTATACACATGTTCGGGGGGTGGCTCCAAGAGCCGCTCTAATTAAAGCGCCTGGAGCATCTTGTGCATCAATGTCCCCGTGCTTAAAAATGGTGGTGGAAATGCTTTATCTAAAGCTCAACGGACATGGAGGCTGCTGGAGCACAGTAATTACCATGCTCCAGCAGACTCGATTAATTGAATTTGTTCTGACGCACTGTACTTACAGCACATTGGAGCAGCCTTGCTGCTTGTGTATAGGTGCCCAAAGGGTCAGATTCTCAAAGGTACTTGGATGCCCAAAGGTGACGAGAGATCGTTAAATGTCTTTACAAATCTAGCTCAAACAATTACAAGTAACATTTTCAAAAGCATCTGGATGATTCCAGACACTCGGCCTTCTTGGAGTGAAAAGGCATTTCCAAAAGCACCTAGATAACTCAGGAGCCTAATTTCCATCTCCAAAAGTAATTTGGGCATTTAGTGGATTATCCTTTCAGCAAGACTTCCCGCTTCTGGCCATTAGGCTTCCCAAGTCATTCAAAGGCTTTGGAAAGTTTTGCCCTAAGCAACCTGCCCATTTCACAAAGAAGAATTTGTAGCTCCTTAGTACCATTCTAGTCTGCCAGCTAGAACTATTCCACCAGCGTGTGGCACTGGCGATCTTTAAATCCGTCTTACCTGGCAACGTCCATCACAAAATCCTCTTCCTTTTTTACTTGACTATCGAGGAGGCCTATGAGTCGGTGGATAATCCACTTTCTTAGGCAGACCACACGGTGCTCAGTTCTTGCAATAAACAAACAGAAACAATTTTGAAATAGCAGCTCACACATCGCAACGTATGTGAGATGCCAGAGGAAGGTGACAATGAGAATACCACAGGGCCTTTCCTCAGCTCAAAGGCCTCATATAGAATGCAGCACAGGAAAATGTGTAGTAAGAAACAGGTACCCCTACTAAGGAAACACCTTTCCTAAGATCACCTATGCTTGCCCTTCCACTATTAGAATAAGTATGTACTCAAGTCAATTCTCTTCCAGTGACCCGTGGAATTTCATAGAAATGTGCTTCAAGAACTGCAAGGTTGCTCCCATGGTCTCAGAACTTCATGCACAGGGAAGCTGTAATGTACTGGCCATGTCTTTTACCCTGGAAGATCCCAAATGTTTTACTAGGCCTCTTTCATTTCTGCAAAACACAGCAAATCCACACATCAGTAATACTATGCAAAACATTATGGCTCCTTTATTTCCCTTGAATTGCAAATACAGCTGGAATCTGAAGCAGAGTATTATTATCCAGGGGGGTATATGGACAGTTTGCAAGGGTTAGCACACTAACTGTTGCAAAAATGCCGCATCGCTCAGGGCCTGCCTCTTCCGTCTCACTGAAAACAAGTGCTTTGAGCAGCATAGTGCCCAATGGCAGAATGCTGGGATGCTAGCGTGGTAGTGACCAAGAAAATGGGAGAGGGGTTCCTATTGAGATAACAGCAGCCTGGATTTTCTTGGGACATTCTCCCGCAAACAGAGAATTACAAGCACCTCTGTAAGTATAAAAGGTAATACAGAGTACGTTGCAAAGACAACTCTAATAGGTTGACCTGCTCCTTTTATGGCCCAGAGCCACATAGCCCTATTTAATAAGCAGAGAGAGCTGGGGAAAAGGTCCAGCAATTACTATGAAAGAGCTCACCTGAAGAGGAGAGCAATAGGAAGCAGGACTATTCTTCTAGCTAACCTCACAGAAAGGGACAGGGCAAGAGAGAAAAACCTCCAGTCAGCTTTGGCCAGGGGAATAATTTTGTTTGCACTCCTTGGTGAGTCAGATTTTATAATATAGCTTTGAAGAGATTTTGGGGAGTGTTCTGCATCCCTCCACGGTTAGAGACCTTGGTACTTACAGCTGCTGAGGCCTACTGGGTGACACCTCACAATCCCACCAAGTTTGACATAGGTGGAAATGCAACACAGATCATACAGAAAGGGGAAGGTTATACTGTATGTACACTCACAGGTTTACGACCTCCTGGTTCTGCTTTTGCCGGCTAGTCATGAAATCTAAACAGCAGCTGAAGTCTGGCTTGAGGAACATGTTCTTGAGCCAGTCGAAGTATTTCAGCAATGCCACGGGCTGCAGGTATTTTACCACCTTCCAAAAGCTCTGGACCACTGGGCAGCCTTGATTGGTAAGGGCAGAGAAACCAACCATCACTGCAAACTGCTTCTCTGGGTCATCACAGTCCTGGAAGAATGCGTCAACATAGGCTTCCATCTCTGGAGCAAACCTAAACCGGTCCGGAAGCTGAAACACAGTTAATACAGTGAACGGAGACAGAACACAGACACATTCATTCAAAACCTGACTGCCCTCAGCACACCAAAGCAACAGATCTGAAAAATCACCATGGTGGATGCTCTCAAGTTCTCCCTACTGCTCCATCTCTCAGGCTCCTTGATAGGCCATCTCCATACTGGCCTGATATACTATTTACCAACCACAAAGCCTTGCAAGCTCCATCTTGCACTAAACTTAGATGTCTCCAAACCCTAGTATCAAGCTAGACACAGCCCAAGGAGGAAGGTTAAATTAATTCTGGTAGGTTTACATGCACATTGGCCGATACACAGCCCAGCTTTCCAATTGCAAAAACAACTATTCTGCCTTCTTTCAGTAGAAGTGCCCCGCACAGGTCCTTCTTAGATAACTAGGAGTGTTAGGCAAGACTGCACCTTAATTGGGTGTCTGTTTTCTAGTGTTTTAAGCAAGTAATGGAGTTAGAACCAGCCAGACTGTTTCAAAGCCCCAGATGTGCGTGCCTTTTCTCTCGCCCTCACTCGCAGGGGATGAGCTTCAACAAAAAGGAGCAAAGAGTGAAAGGCTCATTTGTTCAGCCCAGGAGCATTTTAAGTTCTACCACGTTGTGGCAAGAGCTTGACTAGAGCTGAGAGATGCTACATACAACTGGACAACTGCAAGGCTTGGACACTGAGTCCAGGAGCACTAGACTGTACTTATTAAAAGGCATCCCACTTCATAAAACAACCATGTTTCCTGATGTTCCTTCACAGCCCCACAACATTTAAACTACATCATGTGCTCTTCCTCATTTACTTGCTCATTCTGTAGAGAACAAAAATAGAGCTGGGGGAACCTCAAGAGGCAGGCAGTGGCTTTGTTCTCACCACACAATGCAACTTTTGTAAGTAAATTATATAATTTATTTTACAAATGTCAAGATCAATGAAGAGATATATGGGGCGAGGTACCGAAGCTGGAAAACTAAATGTTCCCTACA